AAAGATATTTGGAGTGTCATTTTAAAAATTCTGAACCAAGTAAATGACCAATTAAGTAAAATTGATTTCACTATTAAGTTCCTATTATTGTTATTTCTGCTGTTGTTGTAAGTTTTAAGATGCTCAGCCTTACTGCCGCTACCTTCTGACTGCCTTCTCAGTTTCTTTTTAAAGGACTATTAAGAGAGTGACCAATATCTGATTTCTCCTTACAATATTATCCCTGAATCAAGGAAATGATCACCAACTGAAGAGGCTCTTGACTGTGAAACAAATTCTCCTGGCCAGTTCCTAAGGAAATGTACAGAGAACAGTATAGAGAATATGCATACTTATGTTAGGGTATGCAGAGTTTGTCTTGCTTTGTTTTTTAGTTACTTTTTTTCTTTTTTCTTTCTTCCTTTTTTCCTATAGCCGGCGCCGGAGGAAAACTAACTAATTACTGTGACATACGTCGAGTAATGTGCACTGCACGAAATGCTCCATTAAACAACAGGTTTTGTCGCCCAATGCCACTGTCTCACTAACACTATGCTGTAACCAAACTCGTGACTATACATATTCTCAGATAGAAAATGTAACAACAGGGTCATTGTAGAGCTCACCGGCATTTTGAGAGACCAGTACTGCGGCCAGAGCAACTGCACCAACTAACAGGGAAGCGAGACAATCCAAACGGACTCCTAACCATCTACCACTGGCCATCACCAAAATGTACGACTGATTATGAACATCTTGACATCTACCGGGATTAAACGTTCACAAGGAAGAAAGTTAGCTTAATAATGATAACAATTTTATCTGGTGGCTGTACTCTGAAGCCGAACCAGGGCGCATAAACTTAAGGGGGCAAGTTTCCAAATAAACTGTAGTGCTACGTTAGTGGGGGAGTATAACAGGGTAATTAAGCATTATCAACTGAGTTGATAACGTAAATTGGCCATCGTAAAGAGTTTTAAAGCTGTTTCGAGAATTAGCCCTTCGTCAGGCGTTAGCCTTTCGCTCTGACGAAGGGCTAACGCTCGAAACGTCAGCTTTTGAACTCTTTACGGAGGTCAATTTACGTATAAACTTAAGATCGGTCTTTGGCCTATAAACATACCAAGGAAACAATGAAAAGGAAAAATTGTTACCTAGAACTTCCCGTGTATAAGTGTATTTTGTCGACAGTTGAGTAATGAAATTATGTAGATGAATTGTTTGGTGTTTTGTTTGTATGTGTGTATGAGTAAGTGTGTGGTGTTTGCTGGTTTGGTTGTTTGATTTGTATTTGTGTTTTTTTTTTTAAATTTTGTAAGACAGCATACACTTATCAAAATCACGCTTAAAAGAACTCCTCTGCCCTCCC